GTTAAAGAGGTTGTTCTAGCATTACCCAGACTTCCTTCATTACTCATTTTCCACATACTTGTCATTGTATTAATTTTTATCTGTACATATTCTTCATTACCTCTTTCTATACTGATTCTTGAACCAAACAAGAACCTAACTGAATTACAGTACATTCACCATGCTTCAAAAATCAAAGTAGTGCAGACCCATTACCAAATGCATATGAAATTACATCAAGCCCTGGTGGTATAGTGGGTTGAGCATAAGACTGCCAATGGAAAGGTCAGCATTTCAAACCCACCAGCCACACCATGGGAAGAAGATGAGGCTTTCTGCTCCTGTAAAGACTTACAGCCTCAGAGACCTAAAGGGGCTGTTGTCTTTCTATGAGCCCCTAATAAAATGATTTAAAAAAAAGAAATTACCTCATGATGGGATTTTGAAAATATTCTAAGTCCTAACTGTAATGTTTTATTATGAAAATAAAGTTATTGTGACTTTTGTCAAGACCCAACTATGCATTTCTTCATTACTTTTGGCCACGTCACAATAAGACGAATGATCCTCCCAAAAGAGTAAACAACAAACGAGTCTCTTAACTATTTTAACTGAGCTCACTTTTGTGAAACTGGTTTATATTTTATTTTTTCAGTCTATGCTATAAGACTTTTGTGGTAAGAATTTTGCAATGTAGTATATTCCAAATAAATATAAAAGGGGCTTTTTGTAGAAATCTCTGTCCTGTACTTTAAATTTTAATCCAGCACACAGCCTGCACTGGAGTTATTTAATAGACTGGAAGTTGAGAATTTTACTAACACAGAAATGTTTCATTCCTAACAATTTTTAAGAGTCTTTTATTCATTTGATAACTTTGCAAATAAAAATAAATATTTTGTTAGAAGGGTCACATTTACATAACAGAAACAATAATTTCAAAAGAATATTTTTACTATTTCCCTAAAATGAGAAGTAGCACATTTGTTGTGATTTTTTTTCCTATCCCATAGTCTCACCCGATGAAGGAGAAAACTACAGAGTAATTCTGAAAAACAGCGCAAGCGAAGAGACAAGAGACGGGTAAAAGCTATTGTGCAATGTTGAAGTGCAGACACCACACAGACACATTTGAAAGGAAAAAGAGAAAGGAACAACTTAGGCCGTTTCCTTATAATGTTTTCTTATTTCAGTTTGAGAGTTTCTCATTCAAAGACAATGTTCAGTTTGTTATTGTTGCTGTTGTTTGTTTTTCTAGAAGAAGGGAATTGACACAACCGATGACATCTGTTGGAATCTAGCATAACTTCTGATTGGTTGCCAGACTCTTCCTTCATGGCAGACATATTTAAAAGATAACACCTAAATCTGGATTAACTTATAGTCTCTTTTTCTTGCCTCAACTTTAAAATGACAAATCTACTTGAAAACAATG